GAAAGAAGGCGGGGTGTTGCGGGGGCGGGCAGGTGGGCGGATGGATTGGACGGCCCGGTTGTTGGCTGCGGGGCTCGGCGTGACGGGCCGTGGACTGGGCCGGCCTTAAGACGTGCGAGCGCTCTCGTCAAGGGTTAGGGTTGTGGTGGCCTTTCGGAGTCTTCTCTTCCCTTGGCAAGATGTACGTGGTTCAACGGGAACAGGCCACTGTTAACTGTGGCGAGGGAAAGTGGTGCAAGCAAAGGTGTCAAACTACCCTGGCAGTTAATGACTCTCTCTTATGGCCCTTGAACGACCATCCGTCTTATTCTGACATATTTAGCTTTAAATGTGCTTTCTGCTTGAGACCTGCGCGACTCTTGCCTGTTTTTGCTGCGACGGACTAGCATGGCAACTTTTCTGAAAAAAACAAAACAAAACAGATCATTCACGAGTTTTGACCAATTCATGAAGTGGTTGATGAGAACATAGTCTTCCTAGTTTTGCTGTGCTGAGTTGATAACTTTAGCGAGATAGAAGTCTCTGGCCTTGACTAAGAATTAAATGAATATAGGCCTGTTTAGCAGGTAAATTTTAGTTCAGAAGGGCTGTTTTGGGACCTCTCTCTGAACTATGTAGTTATCTTAAAGGGTATTATTTCTCTTGAACTTACAGGTCATTAATGGACAACTGCTCCTGGACTATAACTAGGCTGTGAAAGCTGGATTCCTTCTGCTGTGAGGTTTTGTGTATGCCATGTGGTGTTTATTTTTTTCCTCCTACAGTATTCCATGATCCTGTATCCCATGATACAGAAGCCAATTGCTGGAATCACAAAGATTGAGAAAGAAGCCTTGTTAGTCATAGATGTATCCCCCTAGCAACAATAGACTTTCTGATGCTGAATCCCCTGTCAAGGTGCTTTCTGGTTTCTTGGACAGGCCAGTCCTACACTTGACTTTAGGGAACAATTTTCAATAAAGCATACATATTGCAAATTGAGTTTGGTTGCAAGGTGGGTCTGATTTAAGAGTAACAATCATGTGCCCGCGAGTCAATTTTGACTTACGGTTTTCAGGGTTTTCAAGATAGAGAATACTCAGGTTTACCATTCCCTCCTTCTTGCACAGTCCCAGGACTGTGCTGTTTGCCCAAGACTACACAGGCTGGCTTTACGCACAGGAGGCACAATGGGGAATCAAACTCCAAACCCCTGGCTCAGTAGCCAGATACTGTATCTAAATTACTGTGCTATCCAGGCCCTTAGGTCTGATTTACTGCAACTCAGATTGAATGAGAAAAATCCTGATGGCATAACTAAGTAAAAAAAAAATCAAATCTGACACGTCTGATTCTAGCAGTAATTAATAACAAATTTTCACTATTAAAAGCACCCTTTCCCAAGGCTCCCCCAGGACAAAAGAGAGTGCCAGAAAGCATTGGAACTTAAGAGAAGTGGCGGCTCCCAAAGGCTTCCCCAGGACAAAAGATAGTCCCAGAAAGCACTGGAACTCAAGAGAAGTGGGCTGGAAGTGTTTCATTACCCTCTCTTACCTTGAAAGTCCTATTAGGGTTCCAACTTGATGGCACAGAACCATACAGAAACATACACAAGGAATTATAGTGCATCTGACAGAAAATGCAGCCTATGAACTTACTGTCTGTTGTTGGATACACTGAGGGAGCCAGCGAAGTAGCTAGAGTGATACCATACAGAAACATACACAAGGAATTATAATGCATCTAACAGAAAATGCAGCCTATGAAATTGCTGTCTGTGGAAACACTGAGAGAGCCAGCGTAGTAGCTAGGGTGATGGCAGTGGTTCTTAACCTTTGTTACTCAGGTGTTTTTGAACTGCAACTCCCAGAAACTCCAGCCAGCACAACTGATGGTGAAGGCTTCTGGGAGTTGCAGTCCAAAAACACCTGAGTAACCTAAGGTTAAGAACCAGTGGACTAGGGCTCAGGAAATCTTGGTTCACTACACTACTTAGCAATGGAAAGTCACTGTGGGTGGGGATGGCAATTGTAGAACCACTCTCATTTACCTAGAACTGCTGTAAATCAAATTTGGGTTGGACAAGTTTTGAATGCTATATTTTTCCATGGAAAGATTTTCATACCATATACAGTATATCTATGATTAGCCATAGTAATTGGGGTTGTTGTACTGGAGTCAGACATTCTAGGTGGAATAAATATAGGATATGCATTTTAATAAGTAATTCTTTTAAAGCAAACAATAATTTCTAGTGCTCAGTTGCTCATGGGGAAACTGAAAAACAAGGCGCGACAACCCTTTCCTTGTGCACAGTGTAGTCGACTCCTGGCTGCTTATTTGCTGCCGGAGGAGGTTTGTTTTGTTATTAGTTTCTAAAGTCCTAGGCTATCTAGGAGTTGGTTACCTAGGAGACTGCCTTTTCCCTTATATGCCCATTCAGTCTTTGGAGGGGGTCCTTTTGGTAGTGCCACATGCACTATGGGTTTAATGTATAATGGCTAGAGATGGGGGCATTCGTGTACGAATATCCCCGCACTGGTGGCGATAACAAGGGTCCAGCCCCGTGGGGCCGAACGGTCCACTCACCAATCTGCTGCGGACGCTACAATTCTTCCAGTGGCTTTGCAGATTGCGATCAGCTAGCCACTCCTGGCAGGAGGCGGGAGGACAAACCTCGCTGCAAGGTTGAAGAGAGGCTCGCAGATCACAGTCTGCAGAACCATTGGAAGAATTGCGGTGTCCGTGGCAGATCGGTGAGTGGATCGTCCAGCCCCATGGGGCTGGACCCTTGTTATTGTCACCTGTGTGGGGATATTCATATACTGTACAAATATGAATACCCCCATCTCTAATAATGACTTGGAATAGAGCTTTAGCAGTGTGGAACCCATTGTGTGGAATGCCTTTCTTTTAAAATTTTGACATGTTTCTACAATTTCAGTGTTAGACACATGTTGAAAACATAAATTAACATTCTCTGTAGATTCCAACATCTGTCTCATGGATTGCCTAAATATTGCATGTTAATATGGGTGTTGTGTGTTGTGTATATTGTATTTTATACTTTCATTGTATATATTGTATATTCTGTTACTGTGGAATTCAGATATTAATACTATGATTGTAGAATTTGAAATATTTAACCCTAACTTGGTTATAAATACATAAATAAATAAACAATAAAAATTAAATTAAAACCTTCAAATGTCTCCTTGTGGCTCGAAGGGAGAAGCAGGGAGTAGATGAGTGCAAGTTTTTTTGCACCTTGCTCTCATGCTAAACTCTGGCTTAGTGTTACGTCCATTGTGAGTGTGTTTGATATTGGTAGTGGGATGAGATTTTAAAATGATAGGGAAATGCCTTATCACATTTTGTATTACGTTCAGTTTTTATTTTAAATGATTTCCCCTTAAAAGAAGCAGTATTAGAGTTAGTTATATTTTGTTTGTGCTTTTAATTATTTTTTTATCCCACTCTTTCACCAAGGAACTTAGAACAACATGTATGGTTCCTCTCAGTTCATTCTGACAACTCCATAAGGAAAGAAAGGTTGTGAGCTAGTGATTTGCCCAAGGTCATGCAGTGAGCCTGAAGGCTGTTTTGAAGTAGGGTTTCTCTAATTACAGTACATTGACAGTTTTACCCACTTTTTATAGTGTGGACAACCTGGAGGGTATGGGGACCATCTTCCACTGGTACCATGGTCCATACCAACCAGTTCCAGTACAACTGAAAGACGGTCATTTCTAGTTTCTCAAAAATATTTTTTGGGGAATGGTGCTTTGTTCTCCCCACAAAAACATTTGGAGAATCATGGAAAACTGGGGTTCTCAGAGGCTTGTAGAGATCTGATTCTCCCTCTCTTCATCTTACATGATTGTTTTTGAAGGGGTCTTATTCTGACAGTATTGGGGTTCTGGGGTAGCAGAAATTACCTTGGGGCTGAGGATGACATACTGTTAATATAATTTCCATGCCTTTGTTAATAATTTTAATATTTGAACCATAGTGCCTACTAGTGCCAAACGATGCATTGGGCGTACCTGTATGCATAAATTACTAGAAGCATTGCTGGGTATTCACACATTTAGTTTTTACCACAAAACTTCTGCAGACATTGGAATCAATTCTGTTTCACTGACAATTTTTAAAAATTTATTTATTTAGCTGAAGCTTTGAGAATATGATTAGTTCCAAACCTTCAAAATAATAATTTTGATTATTGGAATATTAAGCTAAGTGTAGGACTCATACAATGAAACTCTTCACCCTTCAGATGTGCCATATCTCTGTTTTTGAGTTTCTTTCATGTTGGGGGTTAGAGGGTTTTTTTTAGTTCTAATTTCAGTTGGCAGACACTGACAGAAGGTGTTTTTATGTTGGCTGTCTGAAAACACTTAGAGCCTAATAGAATGTATGGCACAGTAACTGTTTCCACACCTTGGCTATACAGGGTCTTATTATAAACACACTGAATAAAAGTGGTTGAAAACCAATATATTTAATGACTTGTTATCGTCTGAAAGTAGAATTATGGTATGTTCCAAATGCCCAGAAATCCCACTCTGGGCCTATAATTTTTAAACAGTCAAACATTTTTGTTTATTTCTGAATTTCAACAGTTAATTAAATTCAACTTTCAACACCGTATCAGGTTTGAGAATTAGATGCATAGTATACGGTACTTCCAAGGGAAGGAGCTGAACGTTGTACACCAATGAGAAGAGCTGGGCAGATCTAAAATAAAAGTGTTTGATTGCACATACTGTATATATTTGGGCATATATGATTGGGGATAGATGTGGAAAACATATAAAAACTATAGCCATAGAATCTTAATATTGCTAATTTGCAAATATAGTACTGGTCTAACCTTTATTGGGAGAAAGATGGAATACAGTATTAACTTTAAAATTTGGAAAGTAGTGGGATGTTTCTTAATTCTGATGTTGGGTACCTTTCAGTGTGTCTAGAATATGAAAAGGGTATACATTTGTTAATGGAGAAGAAGTGGTGGCTGATTTTGTCATTTAGAGATCAATTTGACTTGATAGATATATGTGTTTGGAGTGACTTTTTGGCAGCTGCAAAGTTGCTGTAGCTAATGTTTAAAGCTAGAGTTTAATTAAAGGTAACCTATTTTGCCATTTTAATTTGGACACTTTTGCTCTGAGGAGGAATAGCTGCCTAATGCCTATAAGTTGATAAGCTACAATTTTTGTAGATCTATGGCTTATCATGAAATTGGAACTGGTACATTGCATTATCTTATTCAGTTGCTGTATTGAGATGTAACTGTTGTTACCGCCTGATTTGGATAGGTTAAATCTTGGCAAATAGTGTAGTTCACATTTGTTTTTAGGCAGACTGAGCACTAGCCTGTAAGGGATTCTAGTGGATCTACGCCTGTATACATCAATGGCATGTTGATGCAAAATGATTGAATCTAGTTTTATTCGAGTTTTTTTCTTGTTGACTTTGATGTACTGTAGGATTGTCTTGCTGTCAGTGTTTACTTTTATCTTGTTCTAGGAAACATACTCCTCCTTTTGCTGGCCCCATCTGTGTACAGTAATATATCTAATTCCTCTGTTTTTACTGCCTGCTGATGTCTTTTGCCTAAGGAAGGCCATGGGAAGTACTGTAGTTGTCTCCTGTCCAAAATATTTCTTTATCCCTGATTTATAATGACCCACAGCAGTGTTGGTCTGCTTTATAGATCTGATGTAACTAGCTGTTTCCTTAACTCTATATACAGTATCAAGAAACTGTTTTGAGTGAATCTACATATACTCCACCAGTCACTCTCTTGCTCTTTGTTTGGCTTGGTTATATGCTATATGAGCTCAGAGTGGTTTGCAATACTTTATTTCATATCAGTACTGTACTTCTGATTTCTTGGCTGTCACAATGTAGAGATTTTGCTGGCTAACATTTAATTCAGCTCTCAGAAAATGGAGGACAGAACTTCATATACAGTCAACATGAACAGGTGGCAGAAACTACATTCTCCCTTTAACATTTAGAGATAACGGTGTTATTTCTCTGCTGCTTCACATTAGTGGCACATGGGCAAATGACACAGATCAGTTTTACTTGAACTCTGGCAGGGACATATGAGAATATTTGAACATCATATGCAGTTTATCCTTTAACTGTTAGGTCAATCTAGGTTGCTCTCAACAGCTGGAAATCAGTTTGATCAGTAGCTGCAAGATTGGGATGCTTAATCTTTATCCCGATCGCCACTGTCAATTTTCAAAAGTTTGTCACTTTTCTTTCAGCTATGGTTCCAGATGCATTTTTGCTCCCTGTCTCCACTTGGTGGCTGGTTGATAATGATTATGTATACAGTACTTACTGTAAGGCAGAGCTTGATCTGCGATAGATTAACCCTGTTCCTTTGCAAATTACAGCTTTTTTTGTGCTGATGTGCTGCAGTAGATATACAACAGCTATTCTTTTATTAAAAACATGCTGTGTAGAACGGTGTGGACCAGATGCAGCTTATAGCAATTAATTGCATGGCTCATGTCTTGAAAATCTTATCTGTTCATATTGGTGGTGGATAATTTTAAAATATGTTTTTGTCTTCAGAATCTATGATTTAGACAGTGAATTCATGTTCTAGCACAGCTGTGTCAAATCCAATGACGTTAGTTTATCCTCTTTCTCTGGATAGGCTGAGAGATTTATTTATGATAAATAAAATAAGAGCTTTTATTAGATGTCAGGTTTTATATGTGAGTGAGAGAATAGTCTAGCTATCTGAACAAAAGTAGTTTGCAAAGTTCATAGTGACAAATGAAGCGGCTCCTCCATTAATTCAGGGATTCATAATTTTCAGCTGTGTGTGTTCATTTCTGTTTTCATAAGTGATTGCTGCTTGTAAGAAATGCAATTAATTCTGGAGTGCAGCATGAAAGAGAATGCTTCCTTTGTAAAGGGATTTCTTTTTGCTTCTATTTGTGATGGCTTTATGTGTTGTGGGTCAAAGTCCTTTAGGTCATAAATCTTTCTAAATCTCTCACAAACCTCTGAAAAGCAAAAGAGAATTATCTCTCTGATGGATACAGTAATAACATGCTGAAGGTCATATAACCAGTTGGTTACAAAGCTAAGAACACATAGAATCTGGATTACTGAGCACACCTGATTAAACTACTAGAGCTCAGTTCCTTCCTAGAGATCAAAATAATAATCTTACCTTCAGTAAGTAGAAGGAATGTGCAATGATTCTAAATGTATTATTTTTCTCAGCAATTCTAAAGAACTAATGTATCGGTTGTTGTGGGTTTTTTGGGCTCTTTGGCCGTGTTCTGAAGGTTGTTCTTCCTAACATTTCACCAGTCTCTGTGGCCGGCATCTTCAGAGGACAGCATTCTGAGGATGAAACTCTGTCTTCAGAGTGCTGTCCTCTGAAGATGCCGGCCACAGAGACTGGCGAAATGTCAGGAAGAACAACCTTCAGAACACGGCCAAAGAGCCCAAAAAACCCACAATAACCATTAGATCCTGGCCGTGAAAGCCTTCGTGAATACAAAATAATGTATCCCTTGAAATATTCCCCTAATTCCTAAGACATCTGTGAAGTTGCATGTTAGCACTACAAGAAAGTGTAATGTTAGTCTGTCAGTACTTGTGTTAGGTGAGCCACACTTTACTGAGGGGGAACTGTGGTACAGATACCTCACTAATAATGATACACTGTTGGATTTTGAGAACATCAAAGGTCAAGCACTGATTCAGTGCTTTTGTTGACATGCACATGTGTATCATTAAAAAGATCGATTCTTAGTATTATCTTGAAGCTCTATGTTATTTTTATAAGGAAGCAGCAGACCTTGGAAAATTTGAGCAGATGAATGTGATGCTGAAATAATACTTGGTTAAGGTTTTGAAAATATATCCTAATTCTGCTTTTTCTTTCCTTATTGATAAACAAAACTGTCAAGTTACACTGAGAGCCTGTGCCTAACAACTGCATCTTATACTCATCCCTGCAGAGATTCTTTAGATCCCATTACTTGTGATCTACTGAAATGGCAGTCACCCATTGAAGAGCCTGGCATTGGGAGATTCCTGAAGCACTTGCACGTCACAATTAGCAATGGAGTATGAGAGGAGGTAAAATATTTCTCCAGTTACTGCAGTGGGAAACTGGTTCATTAATGTAAACATTTTGTCAGTTTTTGCCTGTATTTGTCAGTAGTGCTGCCCAGGAATCCCAATAAAGGGCTTAAGGGGGAAGGCTTTCCCTTTGTTGGAATAGATGCTTCAACATAGCTCTCAGTGGTTTGCTTTCATCTTAAACACTGTAGAGGTGGTCGAGGTGATCGGACAGGTCGTTACGGTGCTGTTGACCAGACCCATGATGAAAGTTCGGAAGGCCGGAACCAGAGGGATCACGATTATAGGGACATGGATTATCGATCTTATATGAGAGATTTCAACAACCAGGAGCCTACCAATGATTATGATGATTCTTCTGAAGAACACAGTGTGGAGGTAGGTTGAGGTTGGGCCTCTTTGAAGAAGATTTTGTATCCCCAGCTTTGCTTCCCTATTGTATGGTGAGAGATTCTTTGATACATAAGCTTCTGTTCTTGTTGAGGAACCCCAGGCAATAGTGCACTATTCAAAATTATTCCTGTAGTTACTTAAGGTGCCACCACAACTGAGTACAGTGGTGCCTTGCTTAGCTATTGCTTCGTTTAACGATGAAATCGCTTAGCGATGACTTTTCCGGAGCAATATTGCGCTCCGTTTAACAATGGTTCCTATGGGTGATTTTCGCATAGCGATGTTTGGGACCATGCTTCGCATAGTGATGACAGTTTGGCTCCCCCTGTTTCGCTTAATGATGGTTTTGACAGCCTCATAATTGGCTGTTTTTTAAATGTTTAAAAATGTTTTTAAAATGTTTAGAATGCTTGACATCATAAGTGCACTTAATAAAGCCTTCGTTAAACTAATTTGACTTTGTTCCGACTCTTTTTAAATTTGTTGTAATTTTTTCCCCCATTGAGATGCATTGAATAGGTTTCAATGCATTTCAGTTGGGGAACCGTGGTTTGCTTAGCGATGTTTCCTATGACGATTTTCGCTTAAGGATGGTAATCCGTTCCCATTGGAACGGATTATCCGATTTTCAATGCATTTCAATGGGAAACCGTGTTTCGCTTAGCGATGAAATCGCTTAACAGCGATTTTCTGGGAACCAAGTATCATCGTTAAGCGAGGCACCACTGTATATGGTCAACTATGGAAGATGATTGCTAACTATATGAAGGATCTATGAAGAGGAAATCCCTGGGAACGTAACAGAGCTTGTGAAAAAGTCTGATACAAGTAGGGACCTGTGTGCGTTTGGAGGAGTGCATACGTTGGTGCCGTTGTGAGCAAAATGGTGGTTTTGTTGCTGCCCGGATACCTGTACAGAAATACTAGGTCTTCTTCTGTGGAACTGACTTCTTCTCTGTTATGGTAATTCTGTCCCTCTACCCTTTGTTTGTGCTTTTTTTAAATCAAGGATTCCTATGAAGCCTCCTCTGGATCAGAGACACACCGTAGAAAACGAGATAGCCCCAGTGAACAGATTGGATTTCCCGGTGATGGTGACTACCGAGACCAGGACTACCGAACCGAGCCGGAGGAGGAAGAACAGAAAGCTAGCAGCATCATCATGTTGAGGATGCTACCCCAATCTGCAACTGAAAATGATGTATGTTAGACGCTTAAGCAGAAATTAATTGCTCTTAGTAACCTTGCAACTCACTGTATCTGTTTCTTGTTTCAGTAACTCTTCTCTGTTTAATACTACTCTGGTAAAGGCATTATTGACTCTTACTCTGTGCCTCTGTAGATCCGGGCTCAGCTGCAGGCACATGGATTCCAGCCCCGGGAGGTGCGGCTGATGCGGAATAAAGCTTCAGGTGAGCTTCTGTTCACAGTTCTAGCTTTTTCCTTATTTTGATATTGGTGTAGTTCTTCACTGGCTATGACACACACTCCATACTAGAATATGGTATGTCAAATATGTATGCATGTGAAATGGTTTTGCCTTGTAATATTAAATATTTAGCTGTGGTCTCTGCGTGTACATTCCCATACAGCATTTAGGCTCAATTAAGCTTTCAGATGTTGATAGCTGATTCATAAGTAGCTATTGTAGTTCTGTGTCACTGATATTCCTTAAGCTTGGGCCTCAGTTGTGCTCCACTCTTTCCATTGGCCTATTCTTGCATTCTTTAATTTTCTAAGCTCTGTTGCAGTTTGTCTAAGGGTGAGACTCCTGAAATTTAGCTGCTCAGCTTCTATTCCTATATGAAGATCAGGATTTTTTTTTAAAAAATGTCTGTTCTCCTTGGTCACCCTTTGTCTTAGGGGCCAGGGACAGAATTAGTAGTGAAAGATAAGGATGGCCCTAGTACTATACTTTCTCCTATGTGGCCACATTAAATCAAATGCAATGACTTGCAAGGATTCTTCTTTGTCCCAACACACTAAGTTGAGCTACATTTTTAGAGTGGTACTGATTGAACAGGTGCCAGGCTAAGTTTTGCAACATTTGATCCACCAAGTTGATTACAATCCTCCAGTCATACACAACCCACCAGTTGAGATGTACTTTTCTACCTTTGTGGGGTGTGAGGAATGGAGGCTTGTCAAGCACCCGATTGGCCACAATACTTGGTTGGCAAAATTGTTTGGTTTGGTGGACCATGTGTTGGACAGGCCTATAGCAAGGAAGGCAGGTTACCAGCTAGTTGGGGTGGCACTGGAAAGCACCAGGGTGGCAAAGGATCCCTTTAGTCTGCTCCATGGAAAAACAGGGTGGTTGTGTCCATTCTATAGCTTAGCACTATTTGGAGGGTCAAATATGAAATCAGACAGGTAAGTTTGCTCCTTATTTCCAAAGTTATGCTTTTTCATATTACACTTGCACACATGTATACGTACTTCTCGCCCATGAGTCAGGCTTGTGTACCTCTTCTTTTTCTCTTTCTTGTTTTAAAGCAAGGTGTGTATGTGACTATAGTCCTCTGTATCTGCCCTTTGTTGTGCTAGGCCTGAGAAGGGCTGGCAGATGTTATAAAATGGAGGGTACAGAAAGACACCCTGATTTCTTGGGCATCCAAAGGCTGAAAGAAGTAAACAAAAATTATAATGCATCCCTATCTGTGAGAGATCCATAAAGCAATGCAGGTGTTGAAAATAAAAGAGCTCATGAGAGCTGTTGAGAAGTACCATTAGCAAACTGATATTTTCTGGGTCTGTTCAGTTTCTTTTAAGCATTTTGTTTACCATTCAATAATAATTTACTGGTTTGTAAGGTTCCTAAATTTATGGTTAGTGTAATTATAGTAGTACTAAGCAAGAAAGGGGAAGGAGCTTAATTATCACTGCATTAGCTGGATGAATTCAGTGCCCCTTCTCTGAGATTGTTTCAGCCTTCTTTTAGTCAAGGCACATGCTGTTGCTGGTCTTTGTGCTTAGTTTTATGGCAAGTAACATTTCTTCAATTCATTCATCCTAGCAGCATCTCTGAAAGAGACAGACATCACTTTGGTTGAATAGGTGAGGCAAAGAGACTGGCTGACCCAGTGTCATTCAGTGAGTCTTATAGTTCAGTGTGGATTTGAACCAAAATTTCTCAGATTCCATTCCAGCAGCATGATGTAGCATGATGTCTCTTAAAGATCCCATAGCTGCTGGGCCTCTTGCTCTCCAGTGTTTTTACACATGGGTGGGTTCTTAGCCATTCCCAAAGCTAAGTGGGCATTGCAGTTGCAAGTTGGTTGATAAAGGTACTGGACTTGGGAGTAGGGACTCCACAGTTTTGTTCCCAGTTCTGGGAATGAGAGGACATCTAGAGGTTCAGATGGTAGGGTGTGGCATATTTCTGCCCAGCCATTTTCTGTTTAAGATGATAGAGGAGTAGGTGCTTCTCTTTTTGTGACCAGCATCTGAGTCTGCAACGCCCCACTTCACCCTTAGGGTGTCCTTTCTGTGCCTTTCCACCCTCCCCTGTTTCTCCCCCGCACCCTGCCCTCGCCCCATTTGGTACAGCGACAGGGGTGCGTGATGTTGGCTGGATCTGTTGACTAACACACTGCGTCTGTATCTGAATGCTGTCCTCCAGGTCAGAGCCGGGGCTTCGCCTTCGTCGAGTTTAATCACTTGCAGGACGCTACACGATGGATGGAAGCCAATCAGGTTGCTTTGCCGCACTTGAAACCCACAAGTACTGCTACTGTTAATGACCAATCCAAACACCTGGTTCACATGACAAGCCCCTAAGCAGCCTTCCCCAGAGGGAATCATCCAAGGGGGATGGGGGGAAATGGAATTAGATCTGGAAGTAAGATATAGCCGGCATTGTCTCCAATATGAGGAATCCAGACAGAGTAGCAGGCACTGAGGAGTTCAATTTCTGGGACCTATCACAAGTCTTGAACAGGGACATTTCAGTGTATTAGAAAGGTACCTGAGAAGTTGGAATCTTTAAATGGGTATTAGCAACACAGGCAATGGGTTGGCTTGTGGATTTCATTTTCCAAGTAAGAAGGAAATCAGGACAGTGCTTTCCCTTCTATGAGTTATAACAGATTGAGCAGAGGAACTAAGGAATTGCCTTTGCTCCACATTGGTGGAGTCGGGAGAGTTCCTGGAAGTAAGAAATGAGGGTTTAGGGGGCTAAGACTCCTGTGTGAACCTCTCCCGCTCTGGAAATACGCATGATCCTCAGCATGCCAAAGGCTGCAGCAATTCTAGGCAGTGGGATCTGGAACTTAAATAAGCCAGCTTAGTTGGTGTGGAAGCTGACCAACTTAGCAGATGAGCAGTTTTTTTCCCCCTTTAAACTGCCAGAGACTGTTATAAGGGGATGTGAGTTATTTTACAGTGCAGTGAGAAATTAGGGCAGAAACTTTCCTAGGAGGCCTTTTCTCTTCTCTTCAGCAGCTCTGTGTTGACAGCCCAAGTATGTGAGACCTTATGTTCTCTCCATTACTGTGGGATCACAATAGAAGTGTGGATGGCTTACATGCCAAGTTTTTAAGCCCCAAACTATTTGTTCTGACCTGAGTTTCAAGCTGTAATCTGAAATAGCCATAAAGTTTGTGAAAATGTACCCCAGCCCAAACTGTTTGGGTTTTCTAGTGTTTATGCAGGTGTGGCAGTGGCCTCTGCCATCTTCTCCTCCTCCTCCTCCTCTTTTCTTGCGTTGGCGGTGTAGCCAGGCTCTGTGTGGACATCCCCAGTGGGAGCTGACACATGTCATCCTGGTGTGGCTGAGATGATGCACTTTGCTCTTGATGCAGGAGGGGTGTGTGAAAATGGAGTTCATGAGCAAGTGTGGACTAGAAGTTCCTTTCAAGAACAGTTTGTACATGTGTACATGAAAATGATACATTATGTCTTTGTAAGATGGCAACAAGCCAGGTATAAACATTGCATCTGTCAGAACAGGATTTTAGCTTGTGAGATCTTGAAAATTGGTTCTGGAAAGTGCTCTGGTGTAACTTTCTGGGTTTAATAGTATGTATGGCCCTGTAGTCGTGTGATACCCTTACCAAGTGCTGAGAACCTGTAGTGTGTATGGCCGTGTTTTAGAAGCCACTTTAGAAATATACAGTTCATTGGTGAACAGTAAAGTTGGGGGCATGTGTGGGCAGAACAGTGTATGAAAACAGGCACTGAACATCTGGGGATGTATATGTAACTTCAAACCAAATTATAGGTCTCCCATATGTTTTCACCTCCTGGACGGATTTGAAATTAGAACATTGGGTGTTCCTCCACGTAGGCCCTTAAACGGAAGTTGACATAAGCATGACAGTGATCTCTGCTGAATGAAGGGGTCGTGTCTATTAAGAAAGGGTGCCCATTGTGGTGGCGCAGTGGTTCTGGGATGGGAGGGAAGAGTAGAAATACATGTTCCTTGCATGTGGAACGAAAGTTCGAGACAGGTCATTCTAGTGGCATACAGTTATTGTACGGCGGTGTCTTGGAGCACAGCTGCATTTTCTCTGTCTGTTCCTCCTTCTCTCTATCTTTTTCTCTGTCTCTCTCCAACACACTCTCCCTCCATCACAGCAGCCGGACGTGCCGGTGCCTTGGGTAGAGACAGGTGCCTCTGTCGGCCAGATTAGGTGTGCGCTAGCCAAGTAGCCAAGTTCCAAACCTCTCTCGGCCTATGCTCCCTTCCCTCCCTCCTCCATTCAGCTGAAGGGTTTGAACCTCTCCTTCTTTCTGCTGCGGCAGTGATGGGCACCTTCTTTCCGCCTCCACTGTAGACTCTCATTGCTGTGTTCCTCTCCCTGCAGCACTCCCTCACCATCCTTGGCCAGAAGGTCTCCATGCACTACAGTGACCCTAAACCCAAGATCAATGAGGACTGGCTGTGCAGCAAGGTATCTGCTTTGAAATCAACCTGCCTGAAAAAGAGTCTGCCATGTAGCAGTCTGAGAGTTGGGCTGGGGTGGTCTGCGAAGGTTTTCCACCATTTGGGAACTGTGGACTAAGAGAAGAACCCACGGTAGCAAAGTAGTGGCCACCTTGCTGATGGACTGTAAATTCCATATTCTTGCCTCCCATCCCATAAATTCAAAGTCAGCATCAGGGCTTTGAGGCAAATCAGTTAGGCAAGTTCTTCTTCCTGAAGGAGGGTTTGAACTGCTTATGAAGTGATTATGGGAACATGAAGGGTACTGGTACAGTTTGCTTATGTAAAAACATTTGGCTTTAGGAGTAAATACTGAGTTGTTGTAGTTGTGGCATAACAGTGTGCTTCTGAGATTATGCCAACTGTGTCTCAATGCTTTTCAAGTGTTCACCATCATAAGGGAGGAGTGCAAAGAAAGAATATCAAAGAGGGAACTTACTAGCAGATACGAACTGCTTTGCTGCATGGAGCAGAAACTGATACAGCCCAGGCTGCTAGAGGGCTGTACGGAGGTCTCTTTCAAGCTAACTCAAGATGTATCTGTTCTCTGCAGTGTGGAGTGCAGAATTTCAAGCGCAGAGAGAAGTGCTTCAAATGTGGCATTCCCAGATCTGGTAAGTGTTTTGGTCCTTTTTAACTCTTCTGATGCCTATAGCATAGAGTTATATCCATGGACTTATTAAAAATGACTTTCCACTTCTCAACAGAAGCTGAGCAGAAGCTACCCCCCGGTAGTCGTTTGGATCAGCTAGTGGCTCTTTCGGGGCGTGAGCTCAGCCAAGGCCTTCTGCCCCTCCCACAGCCATACCAGGTGTCAGCAGCTCTTTCAACTCAGCCAGTGGCCCAGATGTCTGAACCCTGTGCAGAAAATGCTAATGACAGTGAGTATGTTTTTTGCAAAGCTGTAATCAAAGCTAAATCCATTTAGTTTCTTTGGTGCCTTCAGAATGGAATTTCACATTATCACTGAGTTGCAAACCTTAGAATTCCTTTGACAGGAGGCAATTTGGAGGATAGGAAAAGTTTACTGACGTAAATATGTGTTGTGTAGATCAGTTTAAGTGTTAGGTGGAAGTCCAAATCTGACTATGAGTTGGAATATGATTTATCTAATGAGTTTTAAGAGTCTAGACTTCTTTGTATAATTCTTATCTGTGAGAGCATAGTGACCAAAAAAGGGGAAACGTAGGGCACAGATATTATTTTTATTTATTTTATATGCCGCCCACTCTACCCAAAGATCTCTGGGTGGCTTACAACAATTAAAATACAATTAAAATAATTATTATTTATTTAATATTTATTTAATATGTCAATGGGACTTGAATACCTTCCTTGTAAGATTTGGAATCTTATGCTACAGAAGTTTCTCAAAGACAGGGGCGGCAAAATCCCGATCTCAATGGTTCTCAGTGGTGCTTCATTGTTGTCTTCTTCCACCATTTCTGTTGAGAAACAGAGCACTTCAAAGAGGGTGTTTTTTTCTCCAGCAGCAGGAGAAGTATGAGTATGTTGTTTCAGTTTTTAAGAGTAAGTCGTATGCAGTATAATTTTGTTTTGAATTTGTTTTGTTTTTCAAGGATTTAAAAAGAGATCCTGGGTTTTTGTGGAAAGGTGTGCCAATAAGTTAGTTCTGACTTAGGGTGGCTCTTTTCAGGATTGTCTATGTAGAGAGTAGTCAGAAGTGGTTTGCCATTACCTCCTGCTGAGGGCATCCTATAATTGTGCAGCTTGCTCAAAGGCTGGTTCTTCTTGGAGGCACAGTGGAGAGTTGAACTCCAAACTCCTCAGCCCCTCAGCCAGATGCCTGACTTACAGAGCTATCCAGCCAATTCTGTAAGCTCTGTCAAAGTGCATGTGGCCTTAATATTACAGTATATTGAATTATGTTTATCCTTTGTTCATTGGTTGAGTGCTTCATTGTTGTCTTCTTCCACCCTTTCTGTTGAGAAACAGAGCACTTCACAGAGGGTGCATTTTTCTCCAGCAGCAGGAGAAGATAGTAGCAGCAGAAGCAGTGGGAAAGGAGAATAAGTAGGAAAATAAGAACTCTAAAACTGAGAACCTCATATCTTTCCTTACTCACTTATTCTTCCCATCTCCTGCTGTTGCTGCTGAGAAAGAAAATGTGCTGGTGCCAAGTGTCTGAAATAAAAATAATGCAGACTCCATCTGCCTAATGTAGTTAGTCACAGCAGAAAATGAATAGCAAGCAATAGAACAACTCTCAGGTGGTTGTAGTATATAGCAGTGTTGTATATAAAGATATATTGTAGTCAGCTGTACATTAAAGAGAGCTCATGACATCTTCACAGTGCTGTGTGATTCTCGTAAAGTCTGTTCCTTCCTACGTTCAGCTGATGTATTTTCCTGTTATCTTGGTGACACTGAAAGCCTGAAGATTGCTCTTTCCTGTTAAACTAAATGGGAATCAAAGTTCTGTGGTCCCTGTATAAACCATGTTAAGCCATAGTACATTCTCACCTGTGCTGTGTCTTAAAACCTGTTGCATAAGGGCCCTGAGGTAGATGGAAAAGGTGAAGATTTCAACAACCGTGCTATTCTTTCCTCTTTACAGCCATCATCTTGCGAAACCTGAATCCTCATAGTACAATGGACTCTATTTTAAGTGCCTTGGCACCATATGCTGTACTATCCTCATCAAATGTCCGTGTGATTAAAGACAAGCAGACGCAGCTCAACCGTGGTTTTGCATTCATCCAGTTGTCTACCATTGTGGTGAGTGCCATACATTTTAGACTGGGTTAAGCCAAGAAGAACATGTAGGAGTTAACTTGGCACTTGTAACCCATGAGTTTAAAATGCTTATTTCCTAGTACTTGTTGGTTTTTTCCCAGTCTTCATTACATTTTCCTGATTTAGGATTATATTCATTTTTTAGAAAAACAAAGGAACAAGAATAGCTTGTATTTATTTAACTCAAGTTTCTAATTCATGTACTGTTTGAGTATGCATCCATACTATCTGGTTGCTACAAAAGTTGCAGTAGTTTGCAAGTAAATTGAGCTTTTAGTTGATTCAGAGCATTCATATGTCCAGCCATTGTGCCATTTGCACTACAGAATTATCTTGTTATTGAATGGGTTAGTTTTGAGATGAAGGTAAATGATGTCTAGTGGCTGACGTGCATAGAAGCGAAAGGGAAGTCTGATTCTCCATTATTCATACAATTGGAACATGGAATGTGAGGAGTATGAATCAACGTAAACTGAAAACCATAAAGCAAAAAGTGGAATATATAAACATTGCAATGTGACCTAAAATGGTCTGGAACAGGATATTTTCATTCAGACAATTACTCTGGAAATGTCAAACTCAGAAGAAATGGAGTAGCTGTAATATCGAAGCCAGATGTAGTGCACAGGCAATCAGAGGCTATAGTGCAAGGTCTGACCAAATAATATAAGTCATACTCTGTGGAAAACCTATTGGCATAACTATCATTCAAGTCTATGTTCAAACTGCAGATGCTAAATAAGATGAAACTGAAAGCTTTTATGCAAGCATACAGGAGGAAATTGATTGCACACCAAAATAAGACATGCTTATAATCATAGGTGAATGGAATGCAACACTTGGAAGCAAAGCAGAACCAGGTGTTGTTGGAAAGTTTGGTCTAGGGGTCAGAAATGAAGCGGAAGAACAACTCATAGAGTTCTGCAAAGTCAGCAGTCTGTTTATTGCAAATACATGCTTCAAGTAACTGGACAGATTACAGTACACATGGACATTAATAGACGGCCAATAGAGAAATCAAATAGACTGTGAAACAAGGTCAAGAGCATATTGTGATAATAGCCAACATTACAGTAAAACTGCGAAAGAACACTGAAAGACTTCTAGTGCCAAAATATAATTTAAACATTCCTGATGAATGTGAAGTCCATGTAAGGAACAGATTTGAACTACTAAACTCGGTTGACTGAGCCAGAAGAACTGTAGATTGAATAGAGATACTGTACTGCTTGGGAAGAATGTAAAAAGGCAATTTCAGTAGTAAAAAGAAAAGAAAAGGCTAGGTGGATGATGGAGGAAACACTTAAAATTGTAGAGAAGCAGAAGGAAAAGGTGACAGAAAAAGGGTCAAATCCCAAATGCAGCTTTTCAGTATCTCTCACATGGAGGTAAAGAGAATTTATTACAGTAACCAGAGAAAAGAAATACAGTGGTGCCTCGCACAACGAGTGCCTCATACAACGATGAATTCACACAGCGATGCCTTTTTCTGTTAAATTTGCT